CACTCCACCAAAACAACCCACCCTTGGGGCACCACTCACCCCCATGTTGCTCAGTCCAGTGGACTTGTTGCTCCTTACCATACTCATCTTCCCTGCAGGATAACACCATCTCTCCTTCTAGAACAGTCTCTTTCCTCGGCATTTATGACACCCAACCTCTTCTCCTGGTCTTCCACCTTCTCTGGTCAATCTTTTCCAGGACCCTGTTCAGACTCCTCTCCTTTACCAAGTTACTGTTCAGTAGATGCCCCCCCTCCCCAACCCAGTGACTCCATGCATGCAGCACAGAGCTGTGCTCGGCTGGGTTTACAAAAGTGGTGACATTTTGGAAGCAAAAGCACCAGCAGATTTTTATTCCAAAGTGTCTCTGGTAGGGTTCGAACTACCAATCATTCCATTGTGTTCTTGTTGATTGCTGTCAAGTCAAGGACAATTCATAGCGACTCTGTGAACAAAAGGCCTGATGCTTTTCTATAACTGTTATTTCTCCAAGTTCATAGAATTCCGTAAACATGTGGTTTAGGAAGTGAATGCCATGTTTGCTTCCAAACCTGTTTATAAAACTGTGAGCTCAAAAAACAAAACAAAACAAAACAAAAACCCACCAAACAAACTGTGAGCTCCACCAAACACTGTCCACGTGGGGCAATCATTATTGCATTTGACAGCCCAATGGCACAAGGTGCAGCATCGCAGCAAATCCAGATTACAGCAAATTGACAGAAGAGTGATGTACAACTTAGAAAAATGTTCCTACAAAATAAAACAACACTTGGAAGCAGGAGTGGCATCCACTTCCAAAATGGCTTGCCTCTGGAAACTCTATGAACTTGGAGAAACAACCAAAGTTATACAAGTGTTCAGGTCTTTCGTTCATAGGGTCACTATGAGTTGAGGTACTTAACAACAACAGTCTCACTTAGTAATGGTTAAGTGCCATTCAAGTCAAATACGACTCATAGTGACCCTATGAACAAAAGACCTGAACCCTGTTCTATAACTAACATCATTCCATTAATAGCTGAGTAATTAACCATGCTGGGACTTTACTCCTCCTACTCTAAACCAAGGCTAAATCCAATGCCATTGAATTGATTCTGACTCATAGCAACTCTTTAGGACAGCAAAGAATTGCCCCTTAGGGTTTCCAAGGCTGGACTCTTTCTAGAAGCCGACTGCCATCCTCTTCTCCCAAGGAGCAGCTGGTAGGCCCAACCTTTTGGTTAGCAACCAAGTGCTTAAAGACTAGGGTGCTCTGGTAGCCTAGTGGAAGGAGCTGCATCGTCAACATGAAGGTACATGGCTCTAATCCACCAACCGCTCCACAAAAGAAAGGCTGCACCTACTGGAGTTCCCCTTCCTCCTCTCCCCAGTCCTTAAACACTGAGAATCCTCAAGGCACAGTTCTGTCCCCTCATCTCTCTTCACTCAGTTCTTTCTCTGCAAACGCCTCCATCTACTCCCACGGCTTTAGTTAACACCATTCTGGGAAATGAATACGTGTCTCTCCTCTGCAAGCCAGACCCAGACACCCAAGGGCTAGCTTCTATATTCCTGATTAGATGTTCCACCAGCAACTAGCCACTCAACGTGGACAAATGTAATTCACCATCTCTGTCTTTGGTGAGGAAGGATGGAGTGAGGGAGGACAATCTCAGAGGCTGAAGGGCTTGGGCTGAAGCTGAGTCACAGAAAGAGCGGAGTTCTGCAGGGAAGCTGAGGCGTCTTCGCACATAAACAAACAATACTGAGGAAAGGGAGGAGAAGGTTCCTGCACACTTGGAGTCTGTCCCCAGATTTTGTCTCAGGGTCCTTCAAGGGAACAAGAACTTCAGGCTAGTCATTTCCATCTTAGGTCAGTTTCTCTTAATTCCCCTCTTAAGAACTTTCTCTTTGTTGAACATCAGCCTGAAGCCAGGGGTGGGGAGAGAGGAGCATTGTGGGAGGACAGCAGAATCACAGCAGGAATGAAGGGGGCCAGCGCAGTTGACCTGGACATGTGGAAGGGGCGTGTCCATCCACCCAGCAGCTGTACCAACACCTGGAGCCATCTCATCGGATGCTTTCTTCTCCCTTGTCCTTCACCATGAAGTTCAGACTGGGGGCCCTACGGGGCTTAGAAAGGGGACTAGGTTCTCTCCTTCTGGGGGCACATGGGGAAATTTAGAAAAGGTGAGAATTCAGAACTCAGCATTTTTCTTTTTCTGTTTTTCTTCTTGAGGATTTTTCCCCCCTCAGTGCTGATGACTTTACCATTTCTTGGGTGTGGGTGTGTGAAGGGGGAAGAGATTTGGACTTTTTCTCCTCTTAACGCCAAGTGCCGGACAAAGTCTTAACATTCCACAGGAAGCCAGAGCTTCAGACTTTCCTAAAGATGAGGTGGCGTCTCCTCCCCTCTCAGGCCCATGCTCCCCTGCCCCCTCCTGTCTCCAGCCCTCAGTCCTGGCCAAGGAGGCCCAGCCAGGCTGGGAGGAGACCCCAAGCACATTCTTCCTCTCACTGTCATGCTCCAGAAATTAAAGACACATCTTTGGGCTGGGCGCCCGCCAAGCATTTCAAATCAAAAAGTGGCAGAAGAAGTCCTAGTCCTCAGCTCTGTGCCACGTGTGAAGGGTGCTTGGGAACTGTCTATCCACAGCCCCTGGACTGTGGTCTGGAACTGGACATGAGGGAAGCAGCTGTCAACCACCACACACATGGGAGTCCCTGAACACCCCTGGGAACCCCAGACCCTTGACAGAGCAGTCTCTAATCTGTACCTCTGAGGTGTAATCTTTTCTTGAAGGTGGGTATAGAAAAGCCCCCAGCAGGACTCATATGAGAAGGGGGTTGAAGGCAGGAGCCCCTTGGGCCACAAAAAAATCTCAGCAGAGTCACATCAACCTTCACACCAAGCCCTGTGACACCTCACCTCAGACAACCACCCCAAATGTCTGCTACGTCTCTCTGGATGCTTGTCCCCTGCTGGTGAGGGGAGCCGCTAGGAACTGTCCCTTGGTGGAGGGCAGGATTTTGGGTGGGTCCAGGAACTGCCATCTCAGCACCTCAGCCCCCCAGTCCTCCCCTGCCATCGCTGGCACTAGGCGGGGCAGATCCTGGGCCACAAGCTGCTGCCACATGGTCAGGATAATTGATGAAAGTCCACCCCCCATCACTGTCTCCAGCCTAGCTTCTCTGGAAACTCTATATTTTCCCTTTAATTATAGCCCCTGCAGTCTCCCTCCACTGCCCCACCCGCCCCGCTCATCCTGGCTGCCCACGGCCTACGTGGCTCCCTCCCCTTCTGTTCCCTGTGTCTCCCCCCCTTTGCCTTCGTTGCACAAAACCAGCTGGGCAAGGCGTGGAGAGGGGCGGGGGGGGGCGGGTCGATTGGGAGCAGGGAGAAGGGTGAAGATGGGGGTCGTGGGTCAGAGGGGCGGGGGGGGGGGAGGCAGTGGAATCTTGGACAGTTTGGGGGAGGCGGGACTCCCCTCTTCCACGTTTGCAGCTCTGGAGTAACCTGGGGGTGGGGGAGTCCTGAAGGAGGAAGAACAGCTGATGGCACACCTCGAAGGGGCCCCTATTGCATCCATATGGGGCCACAGGTCCTGGCAGCATGAGGAGCTTGCATAGAATGGGGGGTGAGGGTAGATCCCTGTTGGGAAGTTGGAATATTGAGGAGGGGAGAACACTAGGGGCATCTCCCCCAAATAGCACCTAATAAACCGTCATTCCTAAAACCCTCTGTTGTCTTGGAGTCTGCATTGCTTTCTGCATATGATTCATTCCTGGTTCCAGAGGTAGAGAGCAATGGCCTGGGTTTTTAGGGGGATCAAAAGTGGCGCAATGGAACAAGTCCTCTAGATTAAGTTCACTCATCCTCCTCCTCTTCCAAACTCCCACGTTCTCCCACACCGTTCCAGTCCAGGGTCTGGGGCACCCAGAAAAGTGGCTATAACCCTCTGTCCTCCTCCCAAGTTTGCTCTACTTTGACCAGGCTGCCTAGGAGGGTGCCTGGCCACAGATCCTAACTTAAGACCGTTTTCAAAGTCACCCCTAGAAAGGCACAGCTCTCCTCCTTCAAATCCACCTCTTCTCCACCCTTAACTCTATGAATCAACACCAAAGCAGAACTTTTTTTTTTCTGAAGGAATCATGTTGCCAGATTTCCCAAATTTTGAGGTGCTAGTGCCTCAGCCTCCCCAAGTCATCTCTCAATCAAGCCAGGGCTTGGGGGGGCCATGTGGGGTCTCTAGGAGCTTCAGGCTTGGTGGAATGATCATCCTCAAAACAAAACAAACCCCACCACATTGCCAGCCCCCACAACCTGGTTAATAACTATCTATAAAGGAGTCACTGACTTGCTCCCCAAAAGTTTCCAACCGCACTAGAAGATACCCCAGAAGCAGTGAGTGACATTGTTTGAATTCTCTGGCTCTGTTCTGGGACGTCTCCAGCTGGCCTCTTTACACCCATTCCTGCTTCTTCCAAAGACTGTCTCCCTTCTGTACCAGGAGGACCACTGAGGCATGGCTAGGAAGACCCCCGACATTACCTCAACCCTCCCACCTTTGGAGTTCCCTATCCAGCACCCCAAATCCTCTTCTCCAGACTTCTTAGCCTACATCACGCTGAGCACCCAGCTGCACCCCAGCAACAGCATCTCTGGCCCAAGCAGGGCTGGGGGGCTGGGGAAGCAGAGCTGCAAAGGGGGGAGACGTGGGGGTGGATTCCCTTCCCTTTCCCTCCTCCTCCCCCTCTCTGTTCCAGCTCCCAAGTTGGGGGCCGGGCCAGGCAGCCCTGATTGGCTGGGGGGCGGGCAGCCTGCTCCCCCTCTCAGAGGGGCAGGGTTCCTCCCTGCTCTCCATGGGAAGGGTTTAAAAAGGGCCCGGGCCAGGCAACGGAGCAGACGGGAGTTTCTCCTCCAGGGTCAGAGCAGGAGGCACGCGGACTGTGAGGCCACGCATGAGCGGACGCTAACCCCCCACCCAGCCGCAAAGAGTCTACATGTCTAGGGTCTAGACATGTTCAGCTTTGTGGACCTCCGGCTCCTGCTCCTCTTAGCGGCCACCGCCCTCCTGACCAATGGCCAGGAGTTTGGCCAAGAATTTGGCCAAGAGGCGGGCCAAGAAGAAGACAGTAAGTCCTAAACTTTTGGGAGTCCAGGGCTCCTAGGTATCGCTTGGGGTCTGCGACTTCAGTTGAGACTTGGGATGCTCAGCGCTTCAGTTGAGAGTCTGGGGAAGGGGAGGGAAATAGTGAGGGAACCTTGTTCCTCTGCTCCCCAGCAGAGAAAAAAGAGTGTACTTTGGGAAGGGAATCGTACCCCACGTCCTAAGAATGAGAGATGAGCATGGAGTATGGAGTGAGTTGGTACAGGAGGGCGTCCTGAGTGCGCACTGTGCAGCGTAACGCAGAAAGTGGGGATCTGGGCGTTGCGTGGAGGAAAGGGACTTCGAAAATGGGGTGGGGTCTCTGAGTTGCCTATGTGGAGCTCAAGATGTGAAAGCAATCAACAAGGCTGTGGGATGATTCATATGGAAAGATTGTTTGCTCTCTCTGCAAGCTAGACAGTGTTCCCGGGGGCTGCGGGGGTGCTGGGTCGCGGGGGGAGGGGGCGCAGAGAGTGGGCGGGTTGAAGGATGAGAAGCTTTGCCGCGGACTTGACTTGGCAGAGCAGGAGCCTTGCGCCATCTGCCGATTCATACTAAGCACTGCGTCTCCCTGGCCGGTGCATTTGGATGCTGGGGTCGGAAGCGCGGGGATGTTGCGTGGCGGGGACCCCATTCCTTGACTTGGATGATAATAAAGCAGGAAGTAGGGAGATAGTCCCCGTCTCCAAACTAAGTGGCTAGACTAAACCCAAACCTGTTGTGGTTGAGTCGATTCCTACCCATAGCGACTTTATCAGAAAGAGAACTGCCCTATACGGTTTCCAAAGCTAAACGTCTTTTGGGAGGCGACAGCTGATGTTACTTTCTGATACTAGCTGAGCGCTTAATCACCGCGTTACCAGGGTTCTTTTTTAAAAAAAAATTGTTTGTTTTTCGTTTTTCTTTTTACTGAAGTGGCTGGCCTCTGGAATCGGCCCCTCCCGTTCCCTTTGCTTAGTGTTGCCCGCCACCTAGTGGTCGTGGCGGTAGATGCTGGTTCTGTGGGTTTGATTAACTTGATCACTTTGATTACTCTTGGATCTTTGGCTAAAGAGCGGTCTTGAGGGATTAGCTGGCTTTGGGAGGCAGGGATTGGCTTCAGAGCCAGCTTTTGAGATGTCTTAGCGTTGAAGGTTAGAGTGTGTCCTAATTTAGAGGTCCATCTTCAAGTCTCTGGGTGAGACGCCTTCAGTCAGCCCTGCCCATCCGTCTAGCCCCCCCCACGCCATCCCACCTGCTCGGGGTTCAGAGGCGGACCCAGCCCTGCCCACCCCCTTTTTGTCTCCACCCCAACCACGCCCTCTCCTTGAGAGCCCCTTGGGGGTTCTTCCGGGCCTCTCCACTTCTCCCCATCCCCTCCCGGACCTCGTGGCTTTTTATTTCCCTTGGCTTCAACGCCTATGGGCTGAGGTTGGAATTGGAATTGGAATTGGAAGCCTAAAGCTTTGTTTAAATTCCTGAGAACTGGAAGGAGTTAGGGCAGCCCTGGCCCGGCGCCTCAGCGCTGTCACTGGCGCTGATGAGGAGCAGATGAGCTTTTAAGCATTTGGGAAAAGATAAAAAAGGGGGGGGGGGAGAGAGAAAAACAAGGAGGAAGAGGAAAGTGGAAAATCTAAGTGTGTCTCTAGGGCGGAGGGGGAGGGTTGTATTGGGACTGCTGGAGCCCTGAAAGGGGGCACGAGAGCCCTGCTGACAGCCCCCTTCCTTCTCGCGCCCCCAGTCCCAGCGATCACCTGCATACAGAATGGCATGAAGTACACCAACCGAGACGTATGGAAACCCGAACCTTGCAAGATCTGTATCTGTGACAATGGCGACGTTATTTGTGAAGAATTGACGTGCTTAAACGTCTCGCACTGTCCAGGCGCCAAAGTGCCCGAAAACGAATGCTGTCCCATCTGCCCTGACGGCGAGGGTACGTGTAGGCCCGGGGCCTGGGTATGGGGGGCTGTGCCCTTGCTCCTGGGAGCCCCCTGTCGCTTGAAGAGCAGCATCGCTGAGCCTGCCTCCCTCTAACCTGCTTCCCTTCTCCCCCTTAGAGTCATCTCCCGACCAAGAAACTGCTGGAGTCGAGGTAATCCTTCGCCTTTGAATTTTGCCACTCCGGTCAAGACTCCCCATTGCCCTCCCTTCTCTAAATCTGTTTCTTTTTCCTCTGTAGGGACCCAAAGGAGACACTGGACCCCGGGGCCCAAGGGTAAGTGTAGTGGGCTCTTGGCTGCTGTGGGCTCTTGGCTGTCGTGGGCTGGAGAGCAGTGTGACCCCTGACCAGCTCTCACTCAGGCCCCGTGCTCTCATTGTGCAGGGTCCTGTCGGCTCTCCTGGCCGAGATGGCATCCCTGGACAGCCCGGACTTCCAGGACCTCCCGGACCCCCTGGCCCTCCCGGACCCCCTGGCCTTGGAGGAGTAAGTGGATAGTTGAGATAGGCACTCACGGAAAGCCTTCTCTCTCTTTCTCTTCCATTTCCCCTCCTTGCAAGTGACATGTTTGGTTTTGGGGTGTTGTGTGTTTTTTTTTTAAATGTCAGTTTATCATTTCAAATTTACTGAAAAGTGGTGAGAATAATTCAAAGGGCTCTCATACACAAGTCTCATTCTGCTGCATTGGTTTTATCAGTCTCTCACTATATATATGTATTATTATCATTGGTTTTTTTGGTTGTTTTCTGACCCACCTGAAAATAAGTGTCTGCTACTATAGCCCTTTGCTTGTAAATACTTCAGTTGCAATTCCTAAGAATATTATCTTACATGACCGTAGCTTGATCGTTAAACTGAGGAGACACAGTCCTAACATCTACATATTCAGTTCATATTCCAGTTTTACCAGTGTCTCAATAATGTGCTATCTAGTAATTTCTTTTCCTAACTCAGGAGTAAGGTAGAATTGAACTTAATGGGTCATGTTTCTTGCCATCTGGAGCATTTCCTCTGCCTTCCTTTGTCCTAACAGTGACATTTTTTGAAGAATCAGATCTGTTGTTTCTTGTATTGTCCGTCTTATTTGGGTCTATATGATGTATTCTCATGGTTAGGTTCAAGAAGTACATTTTTCCCCAGGAAGATCTTACAAGTAATGTGTCCCTCCTGGGCCACCACTTCAGGAGACATGCTGTCAGTTTGTTCTGTGATGGGTGGAGTCTTCTTCCTTTCAATTCACTCATGCATATTCCGTCTTGTTTTGTCTGGTTTTCTTCTCTAGAACTTTGCTCCCCAGATGTCTTATGGCTATGATGAGAAATCATCTGGCGTTTCCGTACCTGGCCCCATGGTAAGCCGCCCAGATGGAAGGGATACCGGAAGAGAAGTGGCTGGGCATCCGGAGGGGAGGGCTGGTATTGGGAGAATAGAGATCTTGGGAGATGAGGACCACCCATGGGACCTCAGAGTCTAGAGGAAACACAGGACAACTGGATGCTCCCAATAGGAACCACTGGGGAGCAAGACTGCATCCCTGTTATGCTCACCCACACCCATGTCAGCAAGCCCCCTTTTCTTGTCTGTCTGTAGGGTCCCTCTGGTCCTCGTGGTCTCCCTGGCCCCCCTGGTGCACCTGTGAGTATCTAGCATGTCTATTTGCAACAGTTTGGGCTTGGGTACTATTGGGATGAATGTGGGGAAGGGGATCAGAGATCTCTTGGCGGGATGGGGAAAGGTTGACAGAGACTGTCCTTCTAACCTCTCTTTGGTTTTGTTCCCCAGGGTCCCCAAGGTTTTCAAGGTCCCCCTGGTGAGCCTGGCGAGCCTGGAGCCTCCGTAAGTATTTCCCTAAATTGCTGTCTCTGTAAGATTCTTACCTTTCTACAAACATACTATAGTCTTTGCTGTTGAAGGACCTTTCCTCTCCCCGCCCCTCGAGTCTTCCTCACTTCCTATTTCCATTCCAAGCCTTCCCCTTCTTTATCCTGGTAATTCTAACATCTTCTCTTATCTCTTCTAGGGTCCCATGGGTCCCCGAGGTCCCCCTGGCGCACCTGGCAAGAACGGAGATGATGTAAGTAGTTTCAATGAAAAGATATCATCTGACTCCCACCACCCATGTAGACTAGCCCCCCCCAATAATCTTTACCCCACTGTCCTCACTGCCTTTGGGGGGTGGTACTCAGTAGAAGGGGGCTGAGTTCTCCCTGATGCACAAGCCTGCCTGGGACCCTTTAACAGGGTTCTTCAGTCTCTGTGGATTGGTTTTCTTTATCTCCTCAACATGGGCAACTGTTCTTCCCTTGTCCCCAAGTACCTTGCTGTCATTTCCAGCCAACTCGCTCAGGGTAATCAACTTCCTGGAGCTGAGACATTCTGAGTGTCTTCCCCTCCCCCTCCCCTATCTAGTGAGATAAAAATGCGCATGGCAGAAATTTTTTCAGAGACTCAAATGTCATCAAACAAGGGTTTCATAATAGCTCGCTGTACACCAGCTTCTAGATGCAAAGAGAAGATTCTGTACCCCTAAGCTTGACCTTCCACCATCCCCAGAATCTGTAGACTTTCTATACTTTTCCAGCCCAGGGCTTAGTGGATGTGATGGCCTTTTCTTCCCCTGTCAGGGTGAAGCTGGCAAACCTGGTCGTCCTGGTGAGCGTGGACCTCCTGGGCCTCAGGTAAGTAAAGTGACGTCTCCAGATCCGGGGCTTCATCGCATTTCCGTTTCATTAGCTTAGTTATGTTGATCATAGGGAAGCTGTGTCCACATTGGTGTTTTCTAACAGATCTTTCTGTGTGTGTGTGTGTGTGTGTGGTTTTTTTTCCCCTTTCCCCAGGGTGCTCGGGGACTTCCCGGAACAGCTGGCCTCCCTGGAATGAAGGGTCACAGAGTGAGTCTTCTTTGATTCATCTAAGCTCTCAAAGTCTGTAGCATCCCGTCATTCCAACCCCCTTTTTCCGAAAGATTCTCATGTGCGTCTTGGGTGGGCAGTGATTGCAAAAGTCCCAAAGGTTATACAATAGATATGTAAAAGAACTTCTCTTCATTGAAAAAGAAGTCTCATTAAATGAGTTGGACCAGTTGGGTTTTAGCCTAACTCCCAGACAGGCATTCTCTTATTCCAATAAGCATCAGGATGGTCCACACCTCCACAGGGTCTCACCTTGGTCTCCTTTCTTTATCCTAGGGTTTCAGTGGTTTGGATGGTGCCAAGGGAGATGCTGGTCCTGCTGGCCCCAAGGTAAGAGCTTGTCTGTGTGCTGTCCTCCTCCTTCTCCCTGTCCTATCAACACATGCCTCACCCTCACCTTTCTGCTCCATAGGGTGAACCTGGTAGCCCTGGTGAAAATGGAGCTCCTGGTCAGATGGTGAGTACGTCCGGTTCTAGAGCAAAAGGAGGGAGCAGAGTGTTAGGGTGAGATGGAAACTCATGGAGAATGGAGTTGTTCCTCATCTCATTTAGTTTCTCTTGATTTTGTGTTAGGGTCCTCGTGGTCTGCCTGGTGAGAGAGGACGCCCTGGAGCCCCTGGCCCTGCTGTAAGTACTCTTAGCCCCTTGAGGAATGTTCTTGAACCTCGGAAGGGGGTCTTCCAGGAGCTAGAAGAGCACTCAGTAACCAGGACTTCCTCTTCCTCTTATAGGGTGCTCGTGGTAATGATGGTGCTACTGGTGCTGCTGGACCCCCTGTGAGTACAGACTGGGTCTCAGACATGGGTGGCGGGGCCAGCTTGTTCTGAACTCCAGTCTCTTGGGTGTGGCTTACACCTTCCACCTTCCTTCTTGCTAACATCTGTCTGTTTACTGCCCAGGGTCCCACTGGTCCTGCTGGTCCTCCTGGTTTCCCTGGTGCTGTTGGTGCTAAGGTGAGACCCCATCCTCCCTCCAGGTGTAGCTCCCATGGGCCAAGAAATGATGTTTTCCTGCTTCCCAAACCAGAGAGATAAGGAGGGACAAGAAAGGAGCCCACTCCCCAACACCTTTATCCGGGGACTCCCCCCTTTGACCTTGGAATCCTCGTCTCCAGTCTCCTGACCCTGTCCCTTCCCTACTCAACTCTATTCAGAAATGAGGTTGAGCTCCCAGAGTTACTCCTGATGCTGATGTGTCTTTTCTTCCAACTCAGGGTGAAGCCGGTCCCCAAGGAGCCCGAGGCTCTGAAGGTCCTCAGGGTGTGCGTGGTGAGCCCGGCCCCCCTGGCCCTGCTGGTGCTGCTGGTCCTGCTGTGAGTGTCCCCTCTCAATGCCCACTCTGGCTCCGCCCTCGGGTCCTTACCTGCCACTTACCCACTTTTCTTTGTGCCACAGGGAAACCCTGGTGCTGATGGACAGCCTGGTGCTAAAGGTGCCAATGTAAGTCTTCCACCCGACCTCAGCGCTGCCTGAAGTCCCCACCTCCACCTGCCCTGTGCCCACTCCTAGACCCTCAACTATGCTCTGCCCCCCACAGGGCGCTCCTGGAATTGCTGGTGCTCCTGGCTTCCCTGGTGCCCGAGGTCCTTCTGGACCCCAGGGTCCCAGTGGCGCTCCTGGTCCCAAGGGTAACAGTGTAAGTACCACACACTTGCTTTGCCCCAATCCATGCACTGGCCCCACTGTGGCCCTCTTTTGGGGAGACTGAAGATTCAAGCCACCTGAGCACCCAACTCTCAGCTCACTCTCTTCTCCCCTCTGCAGGGCGAACCTGGTGCTCCTGGAAACAAAGGTGACACCGGTGCCAAGGGAGAGCCCGTAAGTACCTTGCCACCCCTCCTGCAGCCCACCCCCTCCTGTCCTGTCCTGGACACCCTTGAGGGATGGGATCCCTTAATCGGCTGAGGAAGCCCCTACCCCACTCCAGGAGCCTCACCCCGGTCCACCCTCCTCTCGCCCTCTTTTAGGGCCCCGCTGGTGTTCAAGGACCCCCTGGCCCTGCTGGTGAAGAAGGAAAGAGAGGAGCCCGAGGTGAACCTGGACCCACTGGTCTGCCTGGACCACCTGGCGAGCGTGTAAGTACCCCTGGTGTGCCATCTCCCACTGTTCCCACCTCCAGTGCCAGCCTGGTGCCTGGATGTCCCTGAGCTCACTGACCCTCTCACCTGCAGGGTGGACCTGGTAGCCGTGGTTTCCCTGGTGCAGATGGTATCGCTGGTCCCAAGGTAACTTTTCTTCCTCTCCCTGACATGACCTTCCTCTTGTGGGTGTACGGTCTCCCTTCTTCCCCAGTAGTTTTCACTACCCCTGCTGAGGGTTAAAGAGGGTTCACTCTCTCTTCACACCTAGCCTCCCCTCCCCACCTCTCAATGCCCATCTGAACCAGCCCCCTCCCTGGAAGAAAAAAATTGGTCTATAGTGGAGAGGCCTAGACTTGAGACCTCAATCTTTCCTTTGCCTCTTCCCTTCACCCAGGGTCCCGCTGGTGAACGTGGTTCTCCTGGCCCTGCTGGCCCTAAAGGTTCTCCTGGTGAACCTGGTCGTCCCGGTGAAGCTGGCCTGCCTGGTGCCAAGGTGAGACTCCAGCCCACTGGTCAGCTTGGCCCGGGACCCTGCCTACCCTGAGAGAGTTCCCATATAGGAATGGAAGTGGAGGCAGAGTCTGTCCCCAGGAGTTCTCCCTCTTCCCCTCCCCCTCTTCTCCTGTCCTCCTCACATCTCTCTCCCCCTCTAGGGTCTGACTGGAAGCCCTGGCAGCCCTGGTCCTGATGGCAAAACTGGTCCCTCTGTAAGTATCATCTCCCCCTGTGCCCGCTCCCCATCTCTCCCACCTGCTTGCTTTCTGGCCTCACCACTGCTTTTGTTGTCATCTTCAGGGTCCCGCTGGTCAAGATGGTCGCCCTGGTCCCCCAGGTCCCCCTGGTGCCCGTGGTCAGGCTGGTGTGATGGGATTCCCTGGACCTAAAGGTGCTGCTGTAAGTATTCCAGGAGGAGCAATGCTCTGCCTTTTCCTGGGCCTCAGTTTCTCTGTCCATGAAGTGGGGAACCCTTGCTGGTTCTGCTGTCACTGCTCTCTCCATGGACATAGTCTCCTAGGGCACACCTTCACGCTTGTGGTTTATGCTGTTGTGTGCTGTCATGTAGTCGCCACAAAATCTTGATGGAGTTCTCAGTGGGTTCAAAAGGAGATAGAAGCACTTTTCAATTCAGGTAGCTGTAGACCTGGGGGCAGAAGTGAAGGAGCCTGAAAAGGTGTCTGTTTTAGAGAGAGTCAAAGGGATCCAGCCCTGAAGGCAGCAGGAGCATTTTCCCAGCAGCCTACACTGGTCAGGAGAGCTTGCAGAGCCTTCTAATTGGAAAGGCCCTTAAATGATTCTACTCCAAATAAACCAGAGGGACCTGGGAGGCCAGGTTCCCTGTTCACCCTTCACCTTTTCTCCTCACAGGGAGAGCCTGGCAAAGCTGGAGAGCGTGGTGTTCCTGGACCCCCTGGTGCTCTTGTAAGTCTCTTCCTTTGAACCTAGCCCTTTGGGCCCCCTCCACATAGGAGGGTTGTAGGAGGCCTCACTGTGCTGGCAGGAGGCACCAGTGGGTCTGCTTGGTCCCTGAGCACCCCAGGCCCCATCTACCTGCACCCCTCTTCCCCAAGTCCACCCAGCCTCACCACCCTGAATTCTTTTTTCTCCCCTACAGGGTGCTCCTGGCAAAGATGGAGAAGCTGGAGCTCAGGGACCCCCAGGCCCTGCTGTAAGTGTTTCGACTGGGAGTCCTGGCAACGGGGCACTGGGGAACAGGCCTGGGGAGATGCTGCCTACCCTTCGTCTCCTCAGCCCTTCCCTGACCTCAGCTTTCTCCTCCACAATAGGGTCCTGCTGGTGAGAGAGGCGAACAAGGTCCCGCTGGTGCCCCCGGATTCCAGGTGAGATGTAATGACTGTCAGCAAGTGGGAGCAATGTGGGGGACACCCCCCTTGTTCTCTCCCAGGCTCTAAATCCTCTCTCTTCCCTCCCTAATTTCCCACCTGTAGGGTCTTCCTGGTCCCGCAGGTCCTCCTGGTGAAGCTGGCAAACCTGGTGAACAGGTAAGAGGTAGCAGCTGACCCGAGGGATGAGAATACAGAAAACATGAGGGAGAGGCCAGTCTTCTTAGCTTATAAGATGACCATAAACTAAAAGGAGGGAGTTTAGACACCAGGTGGGACTTACATAGAAGCTGCCAGTCTACGTGACACAATCTCAAAGAAACTCTTTTTAGAGCTTCTAGAAGTCTCTGTGACTTCTCAAGCTTTTTGATCATGATTCTTGGCCTCAAGTTTGCTGGGGAGGTGGAGTGTTTCTGATATATCCCAAGAAGGAATAGAGGATGCTTCACAATAATCCCAACTCAGTGCTGAGAAGGGGCGCATCTGTAAGCCTGGACCTCAAGGGCCAGCCTCAAGGAGGCAGAGGACAGGAGTTCTTGTTAGTAGGAAGCCAGGTGGACATTGCTCACATGTCTTCCTCTCCCCTCAGGGTGTTCCTGGAGACATTGGTGCCCCTGGACCCTCTGGAGCAAGAGTAAGTAGAGCCTACGTCACAACTCTCCATCAAGATTCCCTGCCCTTGACCTTGTCTTTGGAGAAGCCATCATGTGTCTTGTCCTCTTCTAGGGCGAGAGAGGTTTCCCTGGCGAGCGTGGTGTGCAGGGTCCCCCTGGTCCTGCAGGTCCCCGCGGATCCAACGGTGCTCCCGGCAATGATGGTGCTAAGGTGAGAACAGGGCTCTTGTCAGCAACCTTCAGACCAAAACCAGTTGCCTGTGATCAAAGTCATCAGTATAAGAGAGAGACAAGCTGGAGTGGTTCCCCCACAGCCTCTGGGCCATGAGTCTTTCCTCTTAGCTGGTGCCTACCTTTGGCTCAGAACCCAGCCTGGGAGACTCAAGAGGGCCTTGGCCTTTAGAGTAGTGAGAGAAGATCTTCACCCTGAAACCCACAGCGTCCCTTTTCAGCAGGAAGTAGCTAAGAGAATACGCCATCCCCTTTTCCTTATGACTCAGGGTGAAGTCTCTCTCAGGGAGGAGTGATAGGGAATGGCAAAGGACACACTGACAAAGAAGATTAATCAGAACTGGCTTTGACAAGCACTGTGGCATTTGGACAAGAACAAACTGGGAGGAGGGTAGAGAGAATAGTGCAACAATGAATGAGTGGAAGCCCAAAATCTCTGTAAATGTTTATGAAAATTAATAAAATATAATTTAAAAAAAAAAAAAGAGGGCCTTGGGCCTGTGACCCTCTCCTGAAACCTCAGACTTCATTCTCACTCCTTCCTAACTACTTCCTAGGGTGATAATGGTGCTCCTGGAGCCCCTGGCAGCCAAGGTGCCCCTGGCCTTCAGGGAATGCCTGGTGAACGTGGTGCAGCTGGTCTTCCTGGACCCAAGGGTGACAGAGTAAGTTCAGCCCCCTCTCCCCTGAGCTCTATGTCATTCCCTCTCTCTCCCTGCCTTGAAGCTCTCTCAGCCTTTCTCCTTCCTTCCCTCTGAAAGTCTCTTCAGAAGAGCAGTCTCTTCCCCTTAAGTCTTCTTTCTTTCTCTTCTAGCCTCTTGCCTGGTGAATCCTATCCCTGAGGTCACCTTCTGTGCCCTACCTCATCTTCTCTACTGTCAGAGCATCTCTCTCCCTGAGTTACCATGGTGATGAGAGGTGGGGCCAGCTCTTTGATAGAAGTTCTCTTAGCCATTCCCTACACAAGTTAGCAGATTCCTAATGTGGATTCAACCTCAATCTCCTGAAAAGCTCTTGAGTGTAGGGATTTATCTAGTCCCAGACATGAACAGGGACCTCTTGGCCGCACACTGGAAGTCTCAGACGTTTTTCTGTCTTTAGGGCGATGTTGGTCCCAAAGGTGCTGATGGCAATCCTGGCAAAGATGGTGCCCGTGGTCTGACTGGCCCCATTGGTCCTCCTGGCCCTGCTGGTGCTTCTGGTGACAAGGTGAGCCCCTAACATGCAGCTTCCCTGAAAACCTGGCTGTGGATCTTTGAGGAAGGCCCCTCTTGCTATGCTGAGCTGGTGGCCCAAGAAACTAGACAGATGGGGAGGGGAAAGAGACTCTCCAGGACTTATTACCTGGAATTTTCAAGATGAGCCACCTGACTCTGAGCCTCTTGTCTCTTCTTAGGGTGAAACTGGTCCCAGTGGCCCTGCTGGTCCCACTGGAGCTCGTGGTCCCCCCGTAAGTATAATTGGCCCTGGGTGAGGGGTCCATATTAGGGCCCTTCGCGTCCTTTATACTATATTCTGGCCCTCTATCTGTCCCCCATCCATCTCCATCATTGAAGCATATCTCAGCCTGCCTCCTTTCTCTTCTAGGGAGAACGTGGTGAGACTGGTCCCCCAGGCCCTGCTGGCTTCGCTGGCCCCCCTGTGAGTACCAAGAATTCCTTCATTTCCCATCAGCATGGGGACCCTGGGACCTTGAGCAACCGAGATGAAGATAAGACCTTTGGCCTCAGTTAAGGGAGGAGGGTCCTCGTCCATTCCAGCATCTTCTTGTCTTTGGTTACTGCTCCTTCCCCAGCCACGTGAAACCTTCCATCTCTCCCCGTCCCTCTCTTCCACTTACCGCACCTCCCCCTCCCCAGGGTGCTGATGGCCAACCTGGTGCTAAAGGCGAACCTGGAGATGCTGGTGCTAAAGGTGACGCTGGTCCCCCCGGCCCCGCTGGACCCACAGGAGCCCCTGGCCCCATGGTGAGTACCCTACTTCCTTTGCTCTGAGCTGCTGGCAGGCCCCAATTCAGGACTGACCTGGCCTTGACATCTCTCTGCTCTCCTGCAGGGTAACGTCGGTGCTCCTGGACCCAAAGGTGCCCGTGGCAGCGCTGGTCCCCCTGTAAGTAACCCCACCACTTCCTAAGCCCCTCTGCAGACAGCATTGGGCAGCCGGGCGGCCAAGCTGATTGTTCCTCTGACTCCTTTGTTCTTTCCCAGGGTGCTACTGGTTTCCCTGGTGCTGCTGGCCGAGTTGGTCCCCCTGGCCCCTCTGTAAGTATCTGGAGTGAACATTCACTGCTCCAAGGGTACAGGCATGGGCTGTATCAGAAGGCTGGTCAGCCCACGGAGGCCTTGGTGCTGCCTCAGAATCCACTGAACTCTGACCACCCCATCCTTCTCTCCAGGGAAATGCTGGACCTCCAGGCCCTCCTGGCCCTGCTGGCAAAGAAGGCGGCAAAGGTCCTCGTGGTGAGACTGGCCCCGCTGGACGTCCTGGTGAAGTTGGTCCCCCTGGTCCCCCCGGCCCTGCTGGCGAGAAAGGATCCCCTGGTGCTGATGGACCTGCAGTAAGTGAGAGCTCAGATCTCAGCAGCTCCGGAGGGTGCTGTGCCCCAGGTCTCCGTGGCACCTGGAAGATGCCTCACCCCTTGTCTTCCTCCCGCAGGGCTCCCCTGGTACTCCCGGACCTCAGGGTATTGGTGGACAGCGTGGTGTGGTCGGCCTGCCCGGTCAGAGAGGAGAAAGAGGCTTCCCTGGTCTTCCTGGCCCCTCTGTGAGTATCTCCACATGTTGGGGGACCCTGAGAAGACCCATCATGGAAGGATCAGGCTGGGGGTGGACGAACCCGAGGAAGAGCTTGGTAGAGAGTGCCTCTGTGGGTCCGTGGCCTCCTTCATCCTCTCTCTGGCCTAACTCTTGCCTCTCTTCTCCTTTAGGGCGAACCTGGCAAACAAGGTCCTTCTGGCTCAAGTGGTGAACGGGGTCCCCCTGGTCCCATGGGTCCCCCTGGATTGGCTGGACCCCCTGGTGAATCTGGACGCGAGGTGAGCAGCCCAGCCTGTGTCCTCTGCAGGGTCACCAGCCTGAGCCTTCCTCCTTGGGGCTGACCCCCCCCCCCACTCGCTCTCTCCCCTTTCAGGGCTCTCCTGGTGCTGAAGGCTCCCCTGGACGTGACGGATCTCCTGGCCCCAAGGTGAGACATGTCCTCCAAGCCCACAGCCTGTCCGACCCTGCTCCCACCTGGCCCCCTCAGCAGTGGCTGACCTGTCCCTCGCCCCCTCTCCCTCCCAGGGTGACCGTGGTGAGACTGGCCCTGCTGGACCTCCTGGTGCTCCTGGTGCTCCCGGTGCCCCTGGCCCTGTTGGCCCTGCTGGCAAGAGTGGTGATCGTGGTGAGACTGTAAGTAACCAGTCTGACCTGGTCAGGGGAGGGACTGACTCGCTAGGCCAGGATGGATGCCTGACCTGACCCAGACTCGGGTGATGGGGTACTTTGCAAGATGTTTGAGCCCTTGGTTTCCCCAGAAAATCTGAGCCATGCTTCAACCTCAGGGCTCCATCTTCCCAAGGAATAGGACTGGTCCCCAGGTGCTGGGGAACCTGCCTCTCTAAAGGCAGGGTGGGACAGTGGTTTCTGGGGATCAGAAAGGTGATTGCCATGGTGGGAAAGAAGGTGGGAAACATCTGCTTGGGGGGGGGGTGTCTCCCTGACCGGATTTAATGCTTTCTCTGCTCTCCCCAGGGTCCTGCTGGTCCTGCTGGTCCCATTGGCCCCGTTGGTGCCCGTGGCCCCTCTGTAAGTGCCCTGCTCCGGACCCTGTGCCTCTGAGCCTTTGTTCCAGCGTGGATAGAGTCCCACCCAACACTAATGGACCTTCTATCTGACATTCTGTCTCTGTTCTCTCCTAGGGACCTCAAGGCCCCCGTGGTGACAAGGGTGAGACAGGAGAACAGGGCGACAGAGGCATGAAGGGTCATCGTGGCTTCTCTGGTCTCCAGGGCCCCCCTGGTCCTCCCGTGAGTATACTTAGCCCTTCCCAATTGCTAACTCTTCTCTTGACTTTCCCCATGCTGTGCTGTATGATTTTGAGGGGCTACTGCCTCAGTTTCTCTCTTTCTGACTCCTTAGTGTGGCCTGGGATCCGAAGATTTATTGGCATTTCCAAGTAGCTTCTGGGAGATCAAGGGATAGAGAGAGAGAGAGAGAGAAGAAGCCTTCTAGAAGATATTTCAGCCTCCACAGGGCTAGAACTATCCTAGAGCTAGAGTTTCAGAATGACTAGACTGGAGGAGAGAGCAGACTGCCCTCACTGACCCTCATCTCCCCACCCAGCTCCCCCAGCGGCTGACCCACACTGGACCTGACCCACCTTTCTATCTCTCCTGCAGGGCTCTCCTGGTGAACAAGGTCCCTCTGGAGCTTCTGGTCCTGCTGGTCCTCGTGTAAGTCTTCCATCTTTCCTCCCAAAATCCCAAGTCCAGACTCACCTTGTGACCCCTTGCCTGAGACACAGGTGTCCCTCACCTTCCTGGAGCAGGGGATGAGAGGAGAGAAGCAGAGTGCTGGAAAAACAAATCTGATCTGGCCCTCAGAATCCCTCATCCCACAAAATTATTCTTCCCACAATGTTTCCACTCCTAGTGGTTGGAATGAGTGGGGAGAGATGGAAGCCACGGGCCAGGGGCTGGCAGCGGGAGGTGGGCTTCTCCACAAGCATATGGATTCTGTTGTGCTGCCCTGAAGGGTTGCTCTGACCATCTCCTCTTTGCTCCCCAGGGTCCCCCTGGATCTGCTGGTTCTCCTGGAAAAGATGGACTCAATGGTCTCCCCGGCCCCATTGGACCCCCTGGTCCTCGTGGTCGCACTGGTGATGCCGGTCCTGCTGTAAGTAGCCTCTGCCTGCATCTGCCTTGCAGCCCTCTGGCCTAAGCATACTCGGACTCTGGTAATCCTCTCTCTTCCCTCTGTACACAGGGTCCCCCTGGCCCTCCTGGACCTCCTGGTCCCCCTGGCCCCCCCAGCGGAGGTTACGACTTCAGCTTCTTGCCCCAGCCACCTCAAGAGAAAGCTCATGATGGTGGCCGCTACTACCGGGCCGATGATGCCAATGTGGTCCGTGACCGTGACCTCGAGGTGGACACCACCCTCAAGAGCCTGAGCCAGCAGATTGAGAACATCCGGAGCCCTGAAGGCAGCCGCAAGAACCCTGCCCGCACCTGCCGTGACCTCAAGATGTGCCACTCCAACTGGAAGAGCGGTGAGGGTCACCTCCTCCTCCTCCAGCTGTGACAGAGCTGAGCTTGGGGTTCTCATGCCCCCCAGATGGCCCACCTCCCCTGACACCATCTCTTCCGGCCCCCCCACAGGAGAATACTGGATTGACCCCAACCAAGGCTGCAACCTGGATGCCATCAAGGTCTTCTGCAACATGGAGACGGGCGAGACCTGCATCCATCCCACTCATCCCAGCGTGGCCCAGAAGAACTGGTACATCAGCAAGAACCCCAAGGAGAAGAGGCACATCTGGTACGGCGAGAGCATGACCGACGGATCCCAGGTATGTGAGCTGGACTTGGGAGCCACTCTCCTGAGATGGGCTAGTCCAGTACTGAGAGGGGCCATGAGGGAAGGTTCTGGGGGCTGCTAACCCCTTGCTAAGTGTGTCACATAGAACTGAGCGGGGCAGCAGGTAGTCCTGGGTTCTTGATACTGGCTTGGACTCTTAAGTGTCTACAGATGAGTGTCTTGGACATTAGTTAGGATGATCTCAGGGGTCACTGGCACAGGGAGGTAGGACTAGAGGCTCCTCCACGGTCATGGTCACTCACGCCTTGCTCTCCACCACCACTACAGTTCACATATGGCAGCGAAGAGTCCGACCCCGCCGACGTGGCCATTCAGCTGACCTTCCTGCGCCTCATGTCCACCGAGGCCTCCCAGAACATCACCTACCACTGCAAGAACAGCATCGCCTACTTGGACAAGTCGACTGGCAACCTCAAGAAGTCCCTGCTCCTCCAGGGTTCCAACGAGATCGAGATCCGGGCCGAAGGCAACAGCCGCTTCACCTACAGCGTCATCGAAGATGGTTGCACGGTGAGTTCCCTGCAGGGCCCCACCTCCCCAGGCCTTGGGGTTCCAAACAGGCACCAGCTCTCCTCGTCTCACCCCTCTCACTTGGTAACACCCCTCTCTCGTGGTTTCCCTTTCACCCCAGAGTCACACTGGAAGCTGGGGCAAGACAGTCATCGAATACAAAACCACCAAGACCTCCCGCCTGCCCATCATCGATGTGGCTCCCTTGGACATTGGCGCCCCAGACCAGGAATTCGGCATCGACGTTGGCCCTGCCTGCTTCCTGTAAACTCCCTCCACCCCAATCTGGCTCCCTCCCACTCAGCCCACTGCCCCTCGATCCTGGAAACAGACAAACAACCCAAACTGAACCCCCCAAAAAGCCAAAAAATGGGAGACAATTTCACATGGACTTTGGAAAAGATTTTTTTTCTTTTGCATTCATCTCTCAAACTTAGTTTTTATCTTTGACCAACTGAACATGACCAAAAACCAAAAGCGCATCCAACCTTACCAAAAAAAGAAAAAAAGAATAAATAAATAACTTTTTAAAAAAGGAAGCTTGGTCCACTTGCTTGAAGACCCATGTGGGGGTAAGTCCTTTTCTGCCCCTTGGGCTTATAATACCCCAACTCTGCCCTTTCTGTTCCTTTCTCCATCCCCCCTTTGGGGCCACCCCTCCACTACTCCCCAGATCTAAGTTTCCCCAAAAGACACAGGAAATCATGCATTGTCTGCCCAGCAACCAAAGACAATGCTCAAACATCCAAATGGCTCCCCCGCCCCCAGCCCACTGCACTGCCCCTCATCTAGCACCTCCAGTCTCTGGGGGACCTGAGATTCTCAGACTGCCAAAGAAGCTTTGCCATCTGGCACCCCATGACCCCTGAAACACACTCCTCTTTGTTTTCGAGAGGGGTGTGCCGGGGGAGCCCCAGGCCACGCGCTGGGTCTGGAGGTCAGTCAGGGACCACAGGCAGAAACATGGGATCTGGGGCGTCCATCAGCCCTGTGCAGCAGGACTGGGTCAGATACTGTTCTGTTCCTTGTGTAATTATGTTGCTGAAAGACTACCTCGTTCTTGTCTTTATTGTGTCAACCGGGGCAATTTCATGGGGCAAGGATGGAAGGGGTTCCTTGTTTTCTATCAAAGGTGCTACATCGATGTAAGGGGTGGGTGGGGAGGGAATCATTGGTGCTATAGAAGTTGAGATGCCCCCCCAGGCCAGCAAATGTTCCTTTTTGTTCAAAGTCTTTTTTTTTTATTCTTTGTTTTTGCTTTTTTTCCCTCTGTGGATGGGGACTTATGTGAATTTTCTAAAGGTGCTATTTAACAAGGGGGTAGCTGCAGGCTCCAGCCAGCACCCGCTCCCTTCCTACCCTCTCTTCTTTCTGCCTTTCTTCTCGCTCTTTTCTGGAACCTTCTCTCCTGCAGCTTCATCCCATCCTACTGCCTCTCTCTCTCTTACTCTCTTCTATGTCTTCTCTTCCTCTCTCTCTCTCTGGGTTTCAGAGCACGACTTTCCAAAGCACAAAGCAGTTTTCCCCCTAGGGGTGGGAGGAAGCAAGAGACTCTGTACCTATTTTGTATGTGTATAATAATTTGAGATGTTTTTAATTATTTTGATTGCTGGAATAAAGCATGTGGAAATGACCCAAACATATCTGCATTGGCCTCTAATTTCCTTCCTTGGAGTTGGGGAGGGGAGATGTGGGAGGTGATTTGGAGTGGGTGGGCTCGCTTCTCTTTTGCCCTTGGCCAGTCCCCTGCCCACCTCCCCTTCCTCTTCAGTCCCCTCAGTCCTGCCCCTTCCACTTGCTTTTCTTATTCCTCAACCCTTTTTCTTTCTCTCTTACAACCTTTGCATATTTCAGATCTTTTCCTCTATAATGCCCATTCTCTTTCCTTCGCATCAGGGTCCTGGTGGCCTAAGCCTTATGTCTGCCATTTGCCTCCCAACTGAGCCATCACCTGTCCTTGTGTTCTCCCTACTCTGGGCACCCTAGAAGGTTTTGGGCTGTGGGCGGGGAGACAGAGGTAGAATTTGGTTGGAGTGAAGATTCCTAGGTTGGAGAAGGCTCTGCTCATGGAGACGCATAGGGTAAGGTAGGCGAGGTTATACGGGAGAACCAAGGAGCTCTTCTGCAAGGCCTCCTTTTTCCCAGGGCCTGGGTTGGTGGGCTGGGCAAGCATGAAGAGTCACTGGGCTTCTCCCTCCTTCCCATCTCTGAGATCCAGCCAATGAGATCTAGGCAACCAAGAGGTGAGAATACACTCTGCTCCTCTTCCTGGGCTCCCAGGGGGCAAGGGAGCAGCCCAGTCCCTCAGCCTCAAGGAAGCCTGTGAGAGGTGCAGTTAAGGCAGTCCAAGATGTGCTCTAGAAGCATGGATGTCCCAGTCCACTAATCACACATCAAATCCTTTCGTTTTCTAAATGCACAGAATGAGTCTCCAGGTGTGGTGTGGCCGTGGGAGTGATTTCACCCAGCCCCTGACTCCTGTCCTGGCCTCATCCTTGACTTTGCACAAAGTGCTTCCTCTCTTCCCCTCCGCCTCCCTCCCTCTCCTTTTCTTCTACCCTCTGCTTGTCCGTCCCTCCTTGCCTGCTGGAGAGCCTGAGGACCCCAAAAGGAAGATGACTGGCCAGTGTCCAGTCTCAGGGAATGGGGACACGCATACATGGGCATTTGGGGGCTGCACAGAAAAGACCCTGAAGAACCAGAAGCCTAGAGCAGATAAAGACCCAGAGGCAGGGAGAAGATGACAGCTGTCCACCCCTCTCACCCAAGGTCTCAGGGCCCGACCTCAGAGGAAAGAAAAGTCACGGCCCTCCCTCTGGGCTACAGAGCAATGGCCAAGTCTACAGCCACTAATGCTGTGGTTGTCATGAAGTATTCAGGGCAATTAATTATGGCCTTTAATAATTCATTCTTAGCATTTCTGCCACAATTAGAGCTGTAGAATTTAAGTGTAAAGAGGAGAAGAAATAATGGCATAGATAAAAGTTTATTTATATGCAAATCCCCCAGAGTTGTGTGGAGCCTACTGATTGAGTCATCGGTCCTTGATGGATTGGTTATTTCTAGGTTAAACTCAGGATCCCTGGATCTCTTGGCTGTCCCCACCTCACATCTGTTCCCATAGGGAATCCAGAAGCATTCCGAATCCCACTACCCACTTGTTCCCCCTCCCTAGCCTATCCCACCAGGCAAAAAGAGTCCCTGCTTATGGAACACATCTGCCCACTTTTAGTTCATTCTTTAAGTCTTTTTCTCTGCCTGAAATGATACCTTTCACTTCTGCTCACAAGGCTGTCCAGTCTCCAGAGCATTCTCAAATGACTCTGGGTTCCTCCATCCCACTGCCCAACTCAGGCTGAGTTCTGCCCCCACCCATTCCCCGCTGAGTTCCTAAAGCACTTCAAGTCTACAAAATCAGTCTCAGCTGGTGTCTAGGAGGTTACTGTCAGTTCTGCATTGTTGTGTTTCTCACCAGTTATTCACATCGGGCCAAACAGCGTTCCCTGAGGCAAAGGCACTAAGCATATACATACACACACGGGTGAGACTCAAGACAGAGTGAGTTAGAGTGGCAGTGCTTGTAGTGGGAAGCTGTGTGCCCTTGTGCATGGGTGTGAGTAGCAGTGAGAGGAACAGCAAGTACAAACAAGTCTAGGCTAAGAGCAAAGGTGAAAGGTTCTAGGCCAGGGCTCCCAGAAGCAACACTAGCCACGTATTAGCAAATATGCTTTCTTTAAATGGCACGCTTTGGTGAAAACAGGCTGAGGCTCGATTGGCATTAGACCCAAACAAAGAGCAGAGTAGGGAATTTATCTATTTGGAAGCGACTCATAGCCGACCCTGCGGGGAGTTTCCAGAGGCAGCTAATCTCATGGGAGGAGCGTGTCCATCCTTCTCCTGCAGAGCTGGTGGATTCAAACCGAGGGTCTTTGGGGTTGTAGAGCAGCTTCTTGTCACTAGGCCACCAGAGCTCAAACAAAGAGCAGAGTAGGGAGTTTCTCCATTCCGCGTTGGCCAGTTGGGGAAGTCGCATCAGTTTGAAGGAGCTGGGTCATTTGTCATTTTCTTCAGCACTGTCTGTTTTTTTGTGTTTTTTTGGGGGGTTGTTTGGGGCTTTTTGCGCTGTCTGTTTTGTGTCCTGGGCTGAGTCTTAAAACCATGTCTAGGGAGCTCTGGTAGCCTAGCAGTAAGAAGCTGTGCTGCAGTTTCAAAAGCCTAAGGTTTGTGTCAATCAGTTGCTCCATGGGAGAAGGGTGGGCAATCTCCTCCCGTGCTATTTACTGTGTCTGAAAACCCACTGGAAGATCAGTTCCAACAGGAGTGAATGTTAATCAGATTATTTACTATTTCCTAGAATACACAGACACATTCAGGTAGGATCAGCAGATTGGAATTACTGGTTTCAAACTTACACTTTCCAGTTTGCTCTCTGCAAAAAATCAAAGTTCTTCTGTCCAGAGACGGCCACCGCCAGCGCTTGAAATATGGCTCTTGTGATTGAGACACTCACTCAGTTTTTAATTTTACTTTCTTTTTAAAAAAAAAAATTAATTACTGTTTTTGTGTGTGTTTACCGTCAAATCAGATCTGACTGGTACAGGAGGAGATTGTCCCTCCTTCTCCAGCAGAGCATCTGGTGGATTCGAACCGTGCACCTCTAGTAATTTTACTTTCTTTCCATAGCTGCTTACATTGGGCAGGACACTTCTTAGCAAAGGGGGTTTTGGTTACATTATACACAAATCTACACATGTGCACATGAGTGTGTGTGTGTGTGTGTGTGTGTACGTATGTGAACACATGAGGTGTGCACCACATGTCAGATGTGGTGGCAGACACTCACGGGCAGGCCTGGTGTGACAGTACTTCTCTGTGCAGGTCCTTGTTGGTGTCACGTGGTGTGGGGCCTGGTATGCGGTTTGAGTGTGTGTTTAGGACAGGAGGGGAAGGGGACAAAGAGACCATTGTACCTACCACATTCACAGCTCAAACCCTCCTTTCTGCTGACATCACAGCTGCCCTAAATAGAGCTGCCCAGACCTGCTCCCCCAGACCCTTGCAGACCCCTGCACAGTGGCAGAGTGCCTGCTGTCCCCAGCACCGTTCTATGGAATGCATCGATGTGTTCTCTCTAAAGAAATGGACCTTATTCCTGTGGCTAATTTTCCAGTCAAGTTCAGATGGAAATTTTTAGAGAAGGAAGAAGCTTCCTATGGATTCATAATTCATGCTACTCTTCCAGAACCCTGTTGTGACCTGAGGCCATCTCCTGACAGGATTTTCTATGACTGAAGTGTGGTGGATTCCACTCCTTTCCAGCTTCTGAACCTTCAGCTTTCCTGATGCTTCTAGGATTTGCCTAGATGAAGCTGGGTAAGATTGAGGATGGGGAGAAGTTGAGAGGGGGCTTCCTAATTTGAAGGGAAAGAGGGGACTGTGTCTAACGGGAATAAAGACGAGGCTTTGTGTAGACGAATAAGTGACCGCTCACAAAGCCAGCAGCCACATGACAAGGTGTGCAAAGCTGCGTGAGTGTG